AGGGAACCCTCATTCACTATTGGTGGGAACGCGAATTTGTGTGGTCACTGTGGAAAACAGTATGGAAATTACTCAAAAAACTAAAAATAGAACCACCACATGATCCAGCAATTCTACTTCTGGTTATTTATCTAAAGAAAAATGAAAACACTAATTCAAAAACATACACGCATCCCTACGTTCATTGCAGTATTATTCACAAAAACCAAGAGATGGAAACAACCAGTGTCTGTTGATGGATGAATGGATGAAGACATAATCTCGCTCTCTCTCTCTCTGTCTCTCTCTCTCTCTTTCACACACACACACACACACACACACACACACACACACACACACACAGGAATACTATTCATCTATTACAAATCAAATCTTCGGGGCACCTGGGTGGCTCAGTGGGTTAAAGCCTCTGCCTTCGGCTCAGGTCATGATCCCAGGGTCCTGGGATTGAGCCCCGCGTCGGGCTCTCCGCTCAGCGGGGAGTCTGCTCCCTCCTCTCTCCCTCTCTGCCTGCCTCTCAGCCTATCTCCTTCTGTCAAATAAATAAATAAAATCTTTAAAAATAAAAAAATAAAAAAATAAAAAATAAAAAATAAATAAAAATCAAATCTTCATTTGTAACAACATGGATAGAACTTGAGAGTATACTGAGTGAAACAACTAAGAGAAAAAGACAAACACCATATGATTTCACTTATATGTGGAATCTAAAAAACAAAACAAAACTGAAAGATGAAGAGAACAGATTGATGGTTGCCAGATAGGAAAGGGATAAGAGGTGGGGTATGTGGGGGAGAAAAGGGTTAAAGGGTGCAAACTTACAGTCATAAATACACAAATCATAGAGATGTAATGTACAGCTTGATGATTATAGTCAATAATACCATATGTGTATTATGTAACTTTATAGAGTGACAAGGGAAACTAGACTTATTGTGGTGATCATTTCACAGGGTATACCAATACTGAATTATTGTCGTATACCTGAAAGTAATATAATGTTATATGTCAATTATGTCTCAATTCAAAATTTTTTTTAAAAATCACACCACCCAACTGATTTTCAAGTAGATGACTTTGGGACCGAACTGTGAGAAATCTTGGAAGTTAATAGGACACCTTAAAAGTAAACATATGGCTCCAGGTCCACTATAAACAATTATTTATTACCAAGTTCCCAGTAATCTATGTTATACAGATAAATAGAGGAACAAAGGATACTACTATTAAGTCCAAAACTGATAAACCTGAGATTTTATCCCATTATAAATATATCTCAAGTATATAGGTATGCATTTTTATTTTATATATATATTGTACCTCAGGTATAACCATATATTTATTATATATTGTAAGTATTACTTAGATATTATATCTTTTCATATACATTATATATCATTTCAACCTATTATTATCCTCAGGTATAAATATGTATATTTGTGTGTGTGTATATGTATATATTCATATTATATGTATATAATGAAAATGAAAAGGCATGACTAAATTCAACATCCATTTATGATAATAACTCTCAAAAAATGGGTATAATACATAAACACACATACATATACAAACTCAAAGACATATAAATAATATATACATGTACACATATACAGATACACACACACACAAAATATCACATATATACCTTAGAAGGATAATAACAGGTTGAATTATCTGCAAATCCAGTAGAATAAAGACTTAGATGTAAAACTAAGTTGCTTAAGGAAAATTTTTAAATTTAGCTGTCTTTGCATGACTGTGAAAGAACTATGAGTATATGGTTTCATATTCACCCCACATACAGCTATGATACTATATATGAAGCTAAAGAAATGCCTTCTTTAAAAATTGAAACCTAGGGGTGCCTGGATGGCTCAGTTGTTAAACATCTGCCTTTGGCTCAGGTCGTGATCTCAGGGTCCTGGGATTGAGCCCCACTTCTGAGCTCCCTGCTCAGAAGCTCTCTGCTTCTCCCTCTCCCTCTGCCTGCTGCTCACCCTGCTTGTGCTCACTCTCCCTCTGTCAACTAAATAAATAAAATCTTTTAAAAAATAAATAATTAAATAAATAAATATTGGAACCTACGTAGGGAACAAAGGCTCTCAGAGTGAGAAATGTGCCCTACACAGGTCCTCCTCATCTTTCAGTTCAGGGTGGGGTAGTAGTACCCAGGCTAACTGTTTCTTCTCTTGTCAGGGAGACATGATCTGCCCACATGCACACAATTGTGCCAATGCTATTAGAGGTACAGAAGCTAATAATGGCAGAGGAAACTCATGCTCACCGAATTTAATAATCAACCTCCTCCTTCCAATAATAAATGTGAACAACTGAGAATTTCCAGTTACATTTAAAACCAACAACAAAAAAGAAAAAGGCCAAAATGAGTAGAGGACAACTGATTCTGGAGAGAACAAATAATTTCGGTAAGAGAAGAGGACTTCAAAATCATTCTCATTAATATTGTAAGAAAGACTTAAGAATATATCCATTTACAAAACAGAATAAGCTAATATGCAAAAAGGGAATAACAAAATAAGAATCCAGAAAAAATAAGGATACAGTTATCAAAATTAAGGGAAAAATTAAAAGGAAAATTAAGGGAAAAAATTAGTTGAGTTGGAAGAAAAAAAAAGAAGTCTCCCCAAATGTAAAGCAATAAAACCTAGAGATGAAAATATTTTTTTTTTAAGTCAAGAATAAGACATAAATCCAGAAGGTCCAACATTCATCTAAGGAGGATCTTTAACAACAGAACAAAGAACACCTGGGTGGCTCAGTGGGTTAAAGCCTCTGCCTTCAGCTTGGGTCATGATCTCAGGGTCCTGGGATCAAGACCCACATCAGGCTCTCTGCTCGGCGGGAAGCCTGCTTCCCCCATACCCTCCTCTCTGCCCCCCTCTCTGCCTGCCTCTCTGCCTACTTGTGATCACTGTCAAATAAATAAATAAATAAATAAATAAATAAATAAATAAATAAATCTATCTTTAAAAAAAGAACAGAGGAGAAATAATCAAATAGTAGAAGAAAATCCCTAGAGCCTAAAACAGGACCCTTCAACAAATGTGGTTCACCAAAAATAAAAAATAACTCAGAAACAGGACCTCACTAAAGGTCAGCACATCTCAATGGGCTCTTCTTTTCAATTCTTTTCTCTGGATCCTCTTCTCTTTGATCTCTAAATTATATGGACATGAGGGCTTATTATTTTCACTTCTTTCCTTTGTCTCTGCTATATTTCACTCATTCACTAAATGATCTCATCTAAACTCATCATTTTGGAGAGTGCTTGGTTGGCTCAGTCGGAAAGCATCTGACTCAATTTCTGCTCAGGATCATGATATTGAGCCCCCTGTCAGGTTCCACACTCAGCAGAGAGTCTGCTGGAGGATTCTTTCTCTTTCCCTCTGCCCCTCACTCCACTTGTGCACTCTCTCTCTTAAAAAAAAAAAAAAAAACTTTAAAAATAAATAAATAATGGACTCATTACTTTGAATGTCATCCATATATTGATAGCTCCAATTTTATCTGTCCATTCACTATCTCTCCACAAAACTCCATACATCAAATTGATTTCCTTTCTGCAATCTAACCTACATTTCAAATATATTACATCTACAATAGAATATCATCTCAATCCATACTCCAAACTGCTCATCTCCTTGTCTTCCTGTCTCAAAAAAGAGAACACCATTAATCCAGTTGCTCAGGCTACAAAATCACAGCTAATGCTGAACTCCTCTCTTCCTCATGTTCTACCTCCAATCCATCAGCAAGGCCAACATCTAGCATGGATTTACAAGAATGGTATGTCTAAGAAGAACATGAATTCCCTAACACTATAATGGAGTTGCATCCTCTCTCCTACCATTCACTACCCTGTTTGTACTAATAACATCTCTCATTCAAAGCAATGCAGTTTTTAAGAACATGAGAATGCCTCTCTTTGTCCATGGCATAAACACTGCACATTCTACAGTAAATGATATTCACATGCTATTTCAAATGTTGAATATTGGTTTCCAGTCTCAAATTATCAAACTACAAAAAACTTAATTTACTAAATTAATTGTAAATTCTATAAACCTTGAAAATGTGAAAGTAATGCAAAACAGGCGGTAACAGGTGGAAGTAGATATGGAGGAAAATATGAGGACAATAAATATCTGACTTAGTAGGAAATCAAAAAACACTGTCAAAAATGAATAGGTCAAGAAATAGAATTTTTAGGAAGTTAAATAAAAAAAGAATTTTTTAATGAGCTGGCAGGAAGTGGGAGCAGGGAAAGAAGACAAGTCTAAGTGAAATTAATATCTCTCATGCTATAGATGGGAAACAATAGCGATTTTTAAATTGATACATTAACAAATAAAGTGTATGGATATTATTTAAGACTTGGAATTAAACAGGACTAACCATAAAATCATTGGAAATAATTACTTCCGATGAGTGGTAATGAAGGTGAGTGTATTGAACCTTACTTTTCAGTTAGCATCCTCATCAGTGTTTGAAATTTTATTATGGCACATATTGCTGGCATAGCAATTATATAAACAAATAAAAATAAATATATTACTAAATAACAGAGCAAATAATCACATCTAAGCTAGTTTTATGTCTACATTTTCACACATTTACCTCCATAAAAATTTATAAAGAGACACCAGTTTTTGCTTCAGTGTTGTTCAGTAGCATAAGAGATAAACGTTGACCTAGGAACCACTATGAAAGTACAAAGGCTGGCTAAATACAATCTGGTCAAAATATGTGGATGCCAGAGAGTATAATTAGTAAAAGAATTTTATACAAAGGATCCTTCACATTTAGAACCAGAAAAGCTCACACAGTGATTCACTATAATTCATCTCCTTAAAGTACTACAGGCCTATCTGCCCCTCCAAAGGAAGATACTGCTGTTTTCAACAGTTAACACTTCCATTGTCCTAATACTACCTCGTGTCCTATTTCTATGTTTATAAACATGGCACTATTTTTACCTTGAATAATGCATGGCTTGGTGGCCTGCAATATTAAAATAGAAGTCTGTGGTGTGCTTCATCTCATTGGTGTGCCCAGTGGCCTCAATCCAGTGTCCTATTGGGAGACAATAAACACCATCCACCAAGTTGTTTTCATTATAGGTACAGCAACGGTCATGGTGAGGTCCATTGCCTGGAACAAGAAGAAATGACAAACAGAGCAATTAAATCAATGTTTTGCTTAAACAGCCACAGAGTAGCTGATGCAAAATTAATAAGAAGAAGAAAATAAATACAAAGCTGCTTAATCCACACATTTCAGTATAAACAAAAATAGACTAGAGGGGAAAAACAGAAGAAATTTGTAATTACATACGAATTTCATAGAGTTCTGTGCTCCCTTTGAATACATGCATATTACCAAGAGCATACTAACTCTCAGAATTTAATGGTACCTCTCAGTGCCCTAACTACCCGTTGTGAGTCATTTTGCAGCCTTTTTATCTTTTTGGTATGCAAATTCATAACTAAAATCAGTAATAAAAAAGAATCAGTAATAAAGTGTTTTAGTATCAGCTCAAACAACAAATGAATTTTTAAAATAAATATATTAATAAATAATAAAACAAATGATCACATCCAAACTGGTCTGCATGTAAATCAGTGGTTAGTACTGTTTTCAGATGGGAAATTATCACAAAGATTAGCTATGTTGCTCAAGGTCACAAAACTAGTAAGTGCCAAGCCAGTAGCAAACTGATACCCCTAGATCCCCATCTTTCGGGCACCTGATACCTTCATGTTGTTTTCTGCCTGCTTCACAACCACCAGCACACACCATCCTCCCTCCATGGAGTGCCAAAAGAGACAGAGATGGAAGAATATGTCTCTGAAAACACTATTTGCCTATATTACATTCTGCCCAGTATCCACTATACTAGTAAACAGATCCTTTACTTCTATGAAATTATAATTCATACATTATTTCTATTTGCCCTTCTTATGTGACCACCTCATTTCAAATCATTCCTTTCCTTAAACTACCTAATTTTCATATACTGTCTTCAAAACAAAAAAAAGTATAAGCAAAATAAAAATAGGAATAAGTCACATTTGTTACAAATATAAAAATCAGACTCATATGTTCCTTGATCTATCTTATAGAATATTTTACTTAAAGTTATTTGGCATAAAATCTCAAAAACAAAAAAAATCTTTATTGGGCCATTCTTTAGGATATAACTCCCTTGCATCAGGTAGGAGGTACAAGATGGTTCCCTTAATAAATCATCACTGATCCTCTTAAATCAGACTTCTCTTTTTCTCTTGATGGCTACAAGGCACTACACCAAGTGGTCCTTTACCCTTGATATATTAAATATCAATGATGATGAAAACCAAACTGTACTAGCAACCCCACTTCTAGAAACATATCAAACAGAAATATAACAAGGATAAAAGAGATACATAGAGATGCATGTGTGAATAATACTCTTTTAATAGCACACACTCTAAACTATATAAGTTCATCTATTCATTTTTCCACAAATACTTATTAAATGTCAACTACATGATCTACACTGTTCTAAGTCATGTTAAGGATTTTGGTATTTTCCATAGGAACAACAAAAAAAATGAAATATTTTAAGTAGGCAGGTAACATGACCAAATTTTTATTTTAAAAGTATCTCTCTGGTTACAGAGTAAAAATTTAATTCAAATGCAATGAGATTAAAGCAAAAAGTCCATTTAAGAAACTACTGCTCTAGCCCAGGCAGGAGATGATGAAAGCCTGTAGGCAGAAGTGGAAAAGAGTGGAAAAACCACAGGACATGGTGATTAACTGGATATGGGAGGTGAAGGAGAAAGGGAGGCAACAATGACTCTAGGCTTCTGGCAAATATAACTCAATATATGGTGGTATCATTCACTAAGATGTGAAATCTGTAATACATTGGATGGGAAGATCACCAGTCCAGTTCTTGGACTTGAAGTGCCATTTAGATACAAAAAGAGATATTAAGTACAGAGTCGGCATTATCAATTTGACACTCAGACCAGAGATCTGAAGTAGAAAAACAAATTTATGAGTCATCTAAGTATAAATGGCAATTGAGGCAAGGCTATATAGATGAGTCACAAAGAAAAACAATAGTGATAGAGAAGAAAAGGTTTCTAGAACCAAGTCTGAAAGCATCCCAACATTTGATACCTGAATAAAGAAGGATGAGCTTACAAAGAACACATAGCATGCAAGAGACAGGGAGTGCAAGCAAGAAGAGGAGCAGAGAATGAGGGGGAGAGAGAGAGAAACCTAAGCAGACTCCATGCTGAGCACAGAGCCTGATGGGGCGGGGCGGGGGGGGTTTGATCTCACAACCCTGAGATCATGACTTGAGACAAAACCAAAAATTGGACACTTAACGGACTGAGCCACCCAGGTGCCTCAAGACTTATGACAATTTAAATGTTACAACTTAAATAAATACAATTACTGAGGAGTTCAAATATACATAAATGACAATGTTCAAGAAAAATTATTTACATAACATCAACTTCCTAAGAATTCTTCATTCCTAGAATTAGTTTTTTGAATTACTCATTTTTACACATACATGTTTTAGGAGAAATAACAAAACACTTCCATTTCTTTCAGCCAGGGAAGTGTCAGTGGAGGCCAAATGGAGAACTGGAACTCCCACCCCACTCAGTAGTAATAAGGTCAATCCCTTCAGTTGTCAATGGGTGGGGAACCTGGGTAATGAGGTACCTCCACCCTCCTACTGGAGCAGTGCTAGGGGAATCCAGTTAAATCAGAAGATTTGAGTAAGACCCAGGGTCACATTATATAATACTCAACATGTCAAGGTTTCAAATCCTTATATCAAAAATCACAAAGATCCCAAACTGAATGAAAATTAAAAATGCTTACAAGATGCCAACATTAAGATGACAGAGATGTTAGAATTATCTGAAAAAGATATTAAAAAAAAAAAAAGGAACCAAGTGTATGATGTCTGGAAGAAACTTACTTCAAATTATAGGCAGGTGAAAAGTAAAAGTGTAGAAAAAGATATACCATGCAAACATTAATCAAAAGAAAGAACAGGTGGTTATGTTAATATCATATAAAGTAGAACCTTCAGAGCAAAGATTACTAGAAATAGAAAGGGAAATTATATGATGTTTAAAGTATTAATCTATCAAGAAGCTGTAAGAATTCTAAATGTGTACATAACAAAAAAATTGAGCTGCAAATATATGAAACTAAAAACTAAGACAAGTGAATGGAGAAAAGACAAGTCTAGAATCATAGTTGGAAATTTAAACACCTCTTTCTCAAAAACTGATAGAACAACTAGACAAAAAATCAGCAAAGAATAAAATAACTCAACATCCCCATCAACCAATGGAATCTAGTTGACAATTACAGAATACATTACCCAACAATAGCCGAAAGCACATTTTCAAAGTGTGCACAGAACATATACCAAACTAAATCATATCCTGGATCATAAGACAATATCAAAACTTTAAAATTAAATCACAGAAAGTGTTTTCTCTAACCTCAATGGAATCAAACTAGAAATCAATAACAGATAATAGGAAAATTTTCAAACACTTGGAAACTAATATACATACTACTAAATAATCTATGGGTCAAAAAGGAAGTCTCAAAGTTATTAAAAATAAATTGCAATGAATGAAAATCAAAATAATATGTATCAAAATATGTGGGACACAGCTAAAGCAGTGCTGTGAGGGAAATTTATAGTATTAAATACATACAGTAAAAATAGGAACGTTTCAAATCAATCTAAGCTCCACTTCAAGAAATTAGAAAAAGGAAAGCAAAATAAATACAAGGCAAAAAGAAGGAATAAAGAATGAAAATAAATGAAATTAAAAACAGAAAAACATTAGAGAAAATCAAGAAACAAAGAGCTGTTTTTTTTAAAAGATCATTAAAACTGGCAAACCTCTAACAAGACTGGCAAAAAAAAGTGAGAAAAGGCAGTTGTTAGAAGTAATATGGAAAGATCCTGTGTAGCTTTCCATATTACTTCTAACAACTCCATATGAATATACAATTACCTCAAAATAATAAGTTTAATAAACAAATAAAACTTGGGTGCTTGTTATGTTTTGCTTTTTCCAAATAGACTGGAAATATTTTAAGTTTCTAATTCACTTTCTATTCCATAAGACTGGCCTAAGAGTACAATATATATAACACATTATTTAATATCACAGTGATCATTTATGCCCAGAAGCTCAGTTAATATTTCCAGGTCTCATCTACCTTATAAAAGGGCCAGCTGGCTATGCTGTGAGAAGCCCAGATATGGATCTTCAACTCTATGGTCAAATAATTTTCTAAAAGCAGGAAAAAATATACAGTGGGAAAAAAGACAGTCTCTTCAATAAATGGTGCTGGGAAAATTGGACAGCTATGTGTAGAAGAATGAAACTCAACCATTCTCTTACACCATACACAAAGAAAAACTCGAAATGGATAAAAGACCTCAACGTGAGACAGGAATCCATCAGAATCATAGAGGAGAACACAGGCAGTAACCTCTTCGATACCAGCCACAGCAACTTCTTTCAAGATATGTCTCCAAAGGCAAAGGAAACAAAAGTGAAAATGAACTTTTGGGACTTCATTAAGATCAAAAGTTTCTGCACAGCAAAGGAAACAGTCAACAGAACAAGGAGGCAACACACAGAATGGGAGAAGATATTTGCAAACAACACTAGAGACAAAGGGCTGATATCCAAGATCTATAAAGAACTCACAAACTTGGGGCACCTGGGTGGCTCAGTGGGTTAAGCCTCTGCCTTCAGCTCAGGTTATGATCCCAGAGTCCTGTAATCGAGCCCCGAATCGGGCTCTCTGCTCAGCAGGCAGCCTGCTTCCCCCTCTCTCTCTCTGACTCTCTGCCTACTTGTGATCTCTGTCAAAGAAATAAATAAAATCTTAAAAAAAAAAAAAAGAACTCCTCAAACTCAACACACACAAAATAGATAATCACGTCAAAAAATGGGCAGAAGACATGAACAGACACTTCTCCATGAAGACATACAAATGGCTAATAGACACATGAAGAAATGTTCATCATCATTAGCCATCAGGGAGACTCAAATCAAAACGACATTGAGATACCACCTTCCACCAGTTAGAATGGCCAA